TTAAAACTTGAGTGTGAGCTTTTGCTCAATATCTTTATCCAATATGGTCATTTGGTTCAAACTTTGAGTTGTGCCTTCTTTTTCCTTTAAATTGAGATTATGTCAGGTACCAGTGAGATGCATGTGTCAACCTTTTGTAGACACTGATCAGCAAAGCAGGTTGACTGAGTAAATCAACCAATTGCTCTGATTTGAGCCATCAAAAGAGCAAATTCAAAAACTAAATTCATACTACAGTTGCACTGAATGTATAGCATTCAATTTTGTTTTACAAAACAAACCAATATGAAGCAAGTAAGTGTTTTGTTTATTAGTAATCATTTCTCAACAAGAGGAAATCAGTTCTGTAATGCTGCATGAATACTGATGGAATGGAGCTGATCTCTTACAGTCTAATGAAGATGGTTCACTTTTATCAAACCCATTTTTTCAAGAAAGGATTCCCCCAAACAGGTACAAAAAAGACCATCATGCAAGCGCTGTCATTAAAGGTAAAAACCATTAACGAAGAAGAAAACAGAATCAACCTTTACATTAGTTTACATATAAAATACGGAAAATAATCCATAAAAACATGGCTAAAAACTGTTTAGAGGTGCCTTTAGCCATTATAGATAACAGCACTGTGGGTTATGTTCAGTTTGAATTCTTTGACCTCTGCTGAGAAGTGGTCACTGGTGAATGGTAAATAAACATAACAGCTTAAAGACCCTATGACCCACAATAGATACCATAATGGAGATGGATGTGAGAAATTTATACCACCAGTCATATTTAACCTACTGGGGTCACAGCAGATGGTAGGACTAAGGGATCAAATGCAGAGCCTTCAACTTAGCTACTTTATTGATTTACCCCCTCAGCCTTAACTCAGGATGCAGACCGATACAGATATCAACAAATTTACTCTGATAAGGATACAACTAAAAATGGCTTGGACAGATTATTTCTGTTCAAATAGTTCTTATAAAAAGGTATTATATTTATGTAAAGGAAATCCCAAAAAATTGAAAAAAAAAAAACATTTAGTTTCCTTAAAAAAAATCTAAAAACAGCCCAAGTCCAAGTTCTTTAAAGAGGAATGATCATAATTTTATACAGTGGCTCCCAAACACTGTTTGATGCACCACCTTTCAGTAGCTGTACAGTACATTGTCATATAAACAGCTTTAAGTAACAATAGTGAGAGGTTTGCATCAATGCAAATACATTATGACTGCAGGAAGTCTGCAAATTTGCATCTTGACAACCACTATTATATAAGCAGCATTATACCTGTGTTATTTTTCCACCTACACACTTTGCCTGGATGGCGAGCCTTTTTCAGTTTCTTGCACAAGCCTTGCATTATCTGAGAAACTTTTTGAAAGAACATTAATAAATTACAGACAGAGCCATACAAGCTCCTTAGAGAAACAGGAACAAGTGACAAACTCAAATAATAAATTTAAAACTAACCAGAAGACAAAAACATCCTGGAGCCAATTTATGAAACCCTCTGGAACTACAGACCTACTTTCACCCTTGCAGTTGTCTCAATTCAATGTGGAAAAACGGATTTGTTTGAAGTACGGTGTAATCATTAGCTGTGTTTACATGGTCATAAGGAATTGTAAGAAACCAGACTAAAGATGTGTTATGTCAACATGCCAGTTGGAATAGTCTGTTTGGATTCAGGAGAATCCAAATGAAAATATAATCCTACTACGATGGGTGGTTTATTCTGATTGACAATGTAATACGCATGCATGTAAACACTGTCAGGATCAAAGCAAGCTAATCTGAGTATACATGTTAGCCCAGTATATATTAATTTTATGTATTTACATATTAAGTATGTCAATATGTTCCAACTGCCATGTTTACAGGACACATATTCAGTACGGTCGGCCATTTCTTAGGATTACTTATGCTGATGTAAATTCTACAATCCAATTTTTTCTTATTCTCAAATCTGAATACAAACCAATGTTCATAAAATTTAGTGTATATAAGCATAGCTAATATTATCTTCAACAAAACAGATAGTTGAGGTACAGCTAATGATAATCATAACCTGATTGCATTTCCACACGTCTTTATCCTTTATTGTTTGAATTTTCCCTTTTGATTTCCAATTGTTTCATTATTTGTCTGCTTTTTCAGTTTTGTTTCCTTAAATAACTTGTAATATGATTTTTTGGTTGCTTTTCGACATCTTTATGTTTTTGATTGTAATGAACTTCTCATACTGAATAAAAAGGGCTGACTGATTAAAAGAAAAGAACATGGCAATAACCACCCTATAAGTAGAAAGTGGGGATTATTGGTAGCAAGAGCCTCACAGTATTAGGATAAATATCCGCTTTAACACAACCCACCTGATGTCTGTAAAAGCAAGATGAATACATGCTGTTATGTTGTTTAAACCAAACTCCTAACCTACCACCTATATTTCACAGTGGTTATTGAGGGTAATCCTTCATATTTATTATTTTCCAAATTTTTGTGAGCTTAAAATACATTCTGCCCTCAGTTTTTGTTATTGACCAAATGAAGTCTGATTTTATGCAGCACATCTGCAACGAAGAATCAAACAGTTGATGTCATTATATTCAGGTTCATAGGTCAGTGCATTTTTTAGTATAAATTTCCTTTTAGAAACAAATTTTAAAAAACAAGTGCCTATTTGATTTTAATTTTAAATACAAAAAGATATGCATTTTTTTTTAAACATAAAGTTGTCATAGCTCGAAACCTTGGACCCAATTTTCAAAAAGACAGATCTGAATGAGTTCAAATAGTCTTTATGTCCAAGCGGCGTGGGGATAAACCGGATCCTCTGTAGAAACAGAAACTCAGGTCAGTGACTAAGAATAAGGGCTGATAACGACCAAGAGCAATAATCACTGACTTGGTTCAGAGTTCAGTCTGATCACAGAGGAATGTGATGAATCCGACAAGGAGATTGTCCTCGGCTTGTGAAGGGCGGCGATGAACGGAGCTGATGCCAACTGACCCAGCTGTGTCCTGAAGGGAATATCCGAGCTGAATCGTAACAGAACAATGTTCATAAACCAAAGATCAGAGAGCCGATGAGGTACAGATGGGGGAATCCAAGCCGAGGTCAGAAAAACAGTCCAGGTTCGGTAAGCCAGTAGAATCCAGGAATCAGTCCAGAATGGATCAGACTAATAGAGCAGACCGGGCCAAAGCAAAAACTCATGATCCACAAGACAGAAACAGGTCACAATCAGATAATCAGAACAATAATGAAAAAGCTAGAGTTTCTCTCACCAAACAGCTCAAATAATCTGGCAGTGGTAGCTGGAAAACAAACAATATATATGGCAGCTGGACACAGGTGGATCTGATAAGCAACGAGGAGAAAATGAGTTACACAGGTCATTCCATCCACCAGTGCCAGGACTATGAAAAGCTTGTCTTTTTTTTCTTTTTCAAAAAGGGATAAACAAAACTTTAGTAATAATTTTAGGGTTTTTTTTCTATTTCAATTAACTGAAAATGAGATCCCTTTAAAACAGAGATAAAAACAGGCCTGTTGTGTTTATTATCTCAAACCGGGTGTTGTCACTTCACAATAGCACCAGATTTCACAGGGTGCTAATTGTTGCACTAGCTAAGAAAAACAAAAACAAAAAGATCTTATCTAAGATCTTAGATCTTAGATAATTATTTGGGATTTTAGACGGGGCAAAACAAGGCCAATCATCCACAAAAACCGCAGCACAGATATCATAACCAAGTGGGAGAGCAGGAGGGTGTTCCACAAGAAACGTCAGGAGATCTTGAATAAAAATGGCCAGTGCTTGTATGGCACTTTATCAACACCAAGGACTCCATAGTACTTCACACTAGAATCAGTCCTTCACCCAATGACACACACAATCGCATACTGATGCCGGTGAGCTACGCTGTAGCTACAGAAGCCCACAGCACCCTCTGACTAGAAAAGAAATGTCATGAGAGCTGTGTATACTATGTAAACAAAATGACAATAAATAAAGTCTGACAGAGAGAAGGTTAAAGCAGGGGCTCGAACCAGCAACCAACCAGTTTCAGGACCAACCTCTACCTCCTATACTATGAGATTGCAAAATCAAATTTTTCCTGCAGAACAACTTCTTCCTCTCCCACTTACTTGTGAAATCTGCACCTTGTCAAATATGCAGCTTTCAAAAGAAAACCAATATCAAAACATTTGGTTTGTTTTAAGATAATTTTATATTAATCAAAACTCAAAGCTTAACCCAAAATAATTGTTTATGTTTCACTGATTCCTTTTTGACACAAAAAAGAGAAATTGCTTCTATTTCAATTTTCTTTGTTGAGTTTTAAAATAAAGTTTCTAAAAGGAAAATTATGAGTTTGGAGATTAAGTTTTGTCTTTTTCTTGAATTTCTTGTAGGTCTAAGTTAAATATCCCCTTTTTCGTGTTCTCATGTTTCCCTCAATCTTGTTATAAAAATAAGTTTATATGTGCTTAGCTGTTGTGCATCAGTTTGTGTTCTTCAATGCAAACGTATCCTGCCTCCATCACTTATGTGCTTAGGTGCTTTGATTCAGCGCCTCTGTTATGTGGTGCACATTAGAGAGTAATTTTATGTACACAATATTTTATCACACAATATTGTATATATAATGTATTGATCATTAGGATATAGATCATACCATGTATGGCAAAGACGTTAAGGATGAGAGGGTGACTGATAATTAATTGACTTAAAAGGGGTGAAGCCAAACAGGAGTGGACCAAGAACTCCTCCTTGTGGTGTTTGATTTCCTGCAGAATTCAAGACAGAGCAGACAAAATACACCTTTATTTAAACCCTCATCGTTAAATTTCAGTGACCCTGAATGAATTGTAGCATTGGTAATTATTTTACATAATGCTTAACTGTTATTATATCACAGAGGAACAGTTTATTAACCAAACCTGCATGAGCAGAAAGCTGTGAGTATAAAGAACTGAGGCTGTTTCTGTGTTTGTTTCCTCATAGATACTCCCACTGCAACCCTGAGTGTGTTTATGGGAGTTTCCTGCTGAAGGGGAGACCTTTCCTGGGGAGACCTTTCCTGCAGTCACCTTTCTTTTCCTAAGATCATAAGTAAGCATTATTTTGTTTTAACTTCCAAACCTCTACACTAGGGGTGTGCATTGGCACTGCCCTCACGATTCGATTCGATTACGATTCACCAAGTAACGATTTGATTCTACGTTGCATTGCGATGCATCAAAATCCCATTGACTTCGTAAAATCTGAAATGTGCCCAGATATCCGCTTTCCAAGCTTTTGGTGCGTTTTTAATTAGGCCTACCCGTCTATCGCGGTCATCTAACTCCGCCTCAGCCATCTTGATTGTTGTTGGTATGCCCCCGGAAGTAATTGAAACTTCACAACTTGTCCATTTGAGGCCGGAAAATAAACAGTGACATAATCGATTATGGCATGTTGCCGCATCGATGCTGAATCGTGTATGCCCCGCATTGCAATGCATCGCTGAATCGATTATTGTTGACACCCCTACTCTACACTATTGTGAGAATCAGTGATTTCATATATGAGATGATTTATTCTAAGGCTGAAAGGGTTTTTAGACAGAGCGTGGGTTATATGTATGCAGTATCCTATCTCCCTTTCTTTATTTTGACCTGTCAGAAGCATAAAGGCAGATACGACCTAATTGTACAAGGATGAACTGCCAAATCCTCCATCAATGAGCCAGAGGCGAAAGCTCTATTCTTTTTCTTTAAATGCATATCCTCTTTCTCAGTGACTGATCATACTATAATAAGCTTTTTAAATGTACCACGAATAGCAGCAATTTACCTTCTAACACTCTTAGTCTTGCTGTCTTTCTTTAGACATTACACTCATCCCGTTCAAAGCTGTGAACATGTCTCTATGGAAATCCTCTGTTTTTATGACACTGCAGTAAAGGTGTGATTACCTCAACAGCAGTGGCGTGTGTGCTTGTCCGCTGCGGCTTTTGCTCAGATCTGCAATTCTGCATTGATTCCATGCCAGAGAGCTGAGTGCCAGCTCTGAATGGGGGTCCTTTGTGATGACCCAGTGTACCTGCCAGTGTTTTAACAGAATAACAGACTTTATAATAACGCTGCAGGGTGAAAGTCTGCAATCAATGCCGTAATCAAACCTGCAGCAGTTATAAGTATTTAGAAAGAAATGAACTTTCAATCCATTTTGCATTTAATTTATGATTATAAGTTGGGTTTTTTTTCCTGCCCAAAGAAAAATAGAGTTAAAGTATTTGCAAGAAATCCATTAATCACTGAATTAGTCCATTATTACTGACAATACTGTATTATGTGAAAAGAGTGGGATGATTTTTCTAATTAGCATATTAAACACAGTTTCTGTAAACATTCAAAACATTTAGTTTCTTCCCACATAGCTTTGGCATTGTATATTAAATGGAATTCCCACTTTTTGTCTCATAGATGTTGGCATCTAGTCTATTTCTGATTTTTTTTCCTGTGCTGAATCACTGCCACAAATCTCACCCCACTCTTTAATGTAGTCACAGGCCATGTGCAGAAGGACATCGTTTCTGGCTGCTTGTGTTCAGCTGCTAATTTATTTCGGATACTTTTCAGCATTTGTATTAAAGCAAATTGATAATTTCCATAGAGCACTATCAGCTGTGGGCGATATTAATATAAAAAAGGCTTGGTAGAGTATTAAAATTGATTTAAAATCAGTTACAAGAATTTGGAGGCTAAATATTTCATATTTCCACTTGCTAAATACAATAATGTGGATTTTCCTGGCTGTAAAGAAACACTTCACTCCTTTTATACTGAGTAAAAGCCAATATATGAATAAGACAGATCTGCATCCAACATCCACATGAACTACAAGCACTGTGTGACAAAATTAAACTGCAAATGATCCCTTTTTTCTTCATTTATTGCTAGAAAGGAATCATCACCAGGTTTTGTATCATTACATCTGTAATGTAGCACAAGGAATCTGGAATTAATCTGAAATCATAAAGTCATAGTCATTCGATTGATTATTTTTTTTCCTCTTAAATCGCTCAACCACTTCATGTCATTTATAAAAAAAATGTTTAAGTCTGTGCTTGTTTAGATACAAAGTATCTGTATCCGTGCAACACAGCTGGATCTCACAGGAAGTTAGAAAAGTTTCAGAATAAAGCTTTTGAATAACAAAGTTTTTGGATTATTTATTATCTATTGACAGATTTTCACCATGTAATAATAATTTAGGCAGCTAATTATTGCAGTGAGTGTATTTTGTGGCTTTTAGAACTGATGTCTCTAAGGACATTGCATTAATGATGGCAATAATTAACTGAGATAAAATTCCCTGCAGTAATTAGTCATGCTGTTTAGGCTTCATATAATAGCAAGGAACAAAAACTGAAAAGAAAACAGTTGAAGAAAAATGTTTTCATATCCTTAACAGATTTATTTAAAGTTATTTCATATATAAAAATGTTTAGTATAAGTAATATTCATTTTCTTATAGTGTCCAAACCAGACAGAGTCCAAACATGCACACAGCGTGATGGCAAGGAGGTCTTCAGATCTTAAAAGCCTATAATCTTGGAATTAATCTAGATTGATCTAAATTAAAATGGCTCATTTGAATTCATGAATCAAAATCAGAATTACTTTTTTTTTTTCTTGCAGTGCAACTGTTTACAGAAGAGAAAAAAATAAGATTGTAAGTACAAATAAGATGGAAGAATAGAATAAGATAAGGGTAAGAATAACATAAGGATGATTTGTGTGTGCTACCTAAATAATAAGTAAAAGTAAGTCTTTGAACAGGTTTCTCAAGCCAGGTAGCGCATTAGTCCGGGGGCTCATCACTTGTTTCCTAAATGCACTACAAACTGTTTCTGAAAGCTTTTCTACTCTGATAACTGGTGATAAAAATAAATAATATTCAATAATATGTATTTGTGTTTAGTTTTGTGTTAAAGAGGGTTGTTTACATTGTTAGTCTGTTCATGATAAGCTAACATTATGTTTTGGAGATTGCAGTTGTAAGTGTTAACATTGGCACCATCGGAAGAATGTTTCACCAGTTGCCTATAACGAACAAGCATTTCCTGTGTTTTTGCATTGTCTAGATCAAGAGCCATGTGTCTGTACTTTGGTTTCAGTGTGAGTAACTCACCTACTGGCAAACATGCTACAATATCAAGGTTAAAGTCATCATTAGTATAGAGTAGACCCAGATCCCAACTAGAGGTGGACGATACCTGGAATTCTTGGTATTCTATACGATACCAAGTAAATACAGGGTCAGTATCGCCGATATCGATACTTTTTACATTTAAACTTGATGTATCATGGAACTTTTGACCTTTCAGTGTTTTTGTGATTTTTATTTTATTGTTACAATTGAATAATGATAATATTAATAATGTTCTGTTCATTATGTTTTTTCGTGGGATAAATAATGGATTAGTCAATGTTAGCCCACTTAGATAACATGCTTTAATGGGATAAATGTACTGGGTTCTTGCAAGGTCTTAATTAAACTTCGTGAGTAAGCGATAGCAGTGGCCAGTAACATAGGACACACTGTATAATATCTACTTTGAAAGTTAATATGAAGGTGATCACTCTCTTCTACCTGGAAAATTCTCTGGAAGTCTGAAATGCCTCTGTCAGTGACATCTGTCTGAGGGTCGAGGGTCGGTCTGGACAATCAGTGAAGTTTCGTCTTCTCTCTCCATTTCTGTTGGTCAACGTTTTCTTGCTCAAGGTTTTTATGTGCTTATATAAACTTGTTGTGTTTCCACTGCATTTAACCAGCTTTTCACAAACCATACAGCTTGCCGTTGTTTCATTTAGGGCTTTAAAAACTTGCCAAATGGCACTTTGTTCCCTCTTCTTCATATTTTTTTGCTCGGTTGTTTGTGTGTCAAATGGAGAGAGAGCTGAGTGGGCGGGCCAAGCTGAACCTGCGTGCTGAGCCGGTGAGAAGATTGGAGGGGGGAACAGCAAAGTGCTGTAACACAGATGGGGAGAATGGTGAATCTGCTGCAATTAGTGCGTGCGGGAGAGAATAAAAAGTATCGATCTTGTTAAACGAATATTGTTCAATATCAAAACAAGCCTTGGTATCGATTGTGTCGATCCTAGGATCAGTCTGCCCACCTCTACTCCCAACCAAAGTTTGAGAATAGATTAACTGTGATATTTTGTTAATCGCGCGACGAGTGTCTGACGTTAATACAGGATGTCTAACTATAAATACAGTATATGTATTCAGTCCTACTGGTTTTGTATAGACTTAGACTTAGACAACTCCTTATTGTCATTTTGTAATGAAATTTCGTTTAGTACAGATTTTTAGACAGTAAACATAACATAACATACATTAGCTCTAAGTGAAATTAAAGTTCAAAACAAAAAAAAAAGCCACACTTGAAAAAAACCTGCTTCACTTTGTGCCTGAAACTAGCAACATAATTTGTTAGGCGACCAAAACGGAGAGATAAGATCTCCTCATAAGTGCTGAACAGCACAGCAGGGAGACTCGCAAACTCCCAGACAGAAGAAAAAAAGTATTTTTTTTTTAGGAGGTAAACATATTTGACATTTTCCTCTGCTGCGCCTAACAAATAAAGTGCTACTCTTAAATATGTCAGCATTTCCACTGGGAGAAAAAAAAGGCTAGTGGCCTTCAACACTTTACACGGATCTGAGCAAACTGTGACGAGAAGAGGAAGGCACAGATCAGTCGCATGCTGATCAAACACCAGAAAACGGGAAATAATCTCCTGAAAAGAATGTAAGCATATGGGAAGTTATTCCTATTATAATCAGAGTAAGGGGTGTTTGATTTTCTGAATCTGTGTGTGTATGGGATTTATAGTGATGTTCTAGCAAAAATATTCTCATCTAATAATTTTTTTCTGCCTTTACCAATCTCTGACTTCATGGGAAAGCATAATAATAGAAAGTTGAATCTTTTTATAGATCCAACAATGATGAAGGCTGTTGTAAATAAGCAACTTTTAAAAAATGAGACATTTTAACGGTACTTATGAAAGCATTAGAAATGCTGAGCTCAATCCTGTACCTCATCGAAGAGTGAAT